CATGCGGTGTTTGGTTTTCTGTTCTTGCGATAGTTTGCTGAGAATGATGGTTCCCAGCTGCATCCATGTCCCTACGAAGGACACAAACTCATCCTTTTTCATGGCTGCATAGTATTCCATGGTGTATATGTGCCACATTTTCTTAATCCAGTCTGTCATTGATGGACATTTGGGTTGATTCCAAGTCTTTGCTATTGTGAATAGTGCCGCAATAAACATACGTGTGCATGTGTCTTTATAGCAGCATGATTTATAATCCTTTGGGTATATAGGCAGTAATGGGATGGCTGGGTCAAATGGTATTTCTAGTTCTAGATCCTTGAAGAATCGCCACACTGTCTTCCACAATGGTTGAACTAGTTTACAGTCCCACCAACAGTGTAAAAGTGTTCCTATTTCTCCACATCCTCTCCAGCACCTGTTGTTTCCTGACTTTTTAATGATCACCATTCTAACTGGCGTGAGATGGTATCTCATTGTGGTTTTGATTTGCATTTCTCTGATGGCAAGTGATGATGAGCATTTTTTCATGTGTCTATTGGCTGCATAAATGTCTTCTTTTTGAGAAGTGTCTGTTCATACCCTTTGCCCACTTTTTGATGGGGTTTTTTTCTTGTAAATTTGTTTGAGTTCTTTGTAGGTTCTGGATATTAGCCCTTTGTCAGATGAGCAGATTGCAAAAATTTTCTCCCATTCTGTAGGTTATGTCAGGCAATTTATACATCTTTATTTATTTGGGGTCAACAACTGGAGATTTATTTCGTTTCTTTAGTAGTGTCATATTTTCTTACTTTTCATGCCCCTTGAAGCCTTGCATTGTTACCTTTGCATTTGAAGAAGCAGTCACTTCCTCTGGTCTTAACTGACTAGCTTCAGGAGAGAAAGATCTTCACCAGTCAGCCTGGCTAGAGATTCTGGGGGTCTCTCATATCTCTTTATGACTATATTCACTCCACTCTTCTATTTTCCCCCAGAGTGGGGGCAGGGGGCGGTCTTAGGATTGTGTGCTTTCTCTCAAATCCTCTTAATCTTGTAAAACCTGACCAAGTACTGACAGCCTCCCATTTGTTTTCCCTAGGGTAGCACCCTGAAGTGTTTAAGATTGTGTATCTTCTACCAATTCAGCAGAGTTAAGACAGCTGCTGATATCCATGTGCTGTCTGTGTGGGAATGCGCATTCCACCTGCCAGGGAGCATGGGAAGCTATCTGAGAGGGATCACATGTGCTGGCTATTATGGTGCAGACACTCATAAGCTAGTTGGGGGTCCCTTATCTAACAGATACCCCACAGGGCTCATGGGGTGAGCCTCGTGGGGCTCCTGGTGAAGTCTCTGAGCTGACCAGTAGGATCTGCAGCTGTATGAGAGTGTCATGCACAGACTGCTGTGAAACCCTGCCCCGTTTTCTCTGCTCCTGCTGCTCCCAGGCAATTCAGCTGTGCCAATCCCCGTAGCGTTCTGGATGGGGTGAGACAAAAGTGAGTTTCCTGGGCAGTATCCCACAAGATTTGTTTCTGAGTTTGTTTAGGTTGCTATAACAAGATATCATAACCTGGGTGGCTTATAAATAACTGTGAGAAATAAATGTTTATCTCAGGCTGGAAAGTCCAAGATCAAGTATCAGACAGACTGTTTCTGGTGAGGGCCCATTACTCACAGATAGTGACTTCTAGTGGTGTCCTCACTTGGTAGAAGGGGCTGGGCAGCTCTTGGGTGCCTTTTTTATTAGGACACTAATCCCATTCATGAGAGCTACACCCTCATGATCTAATCATCTCTCAAAGGCACCATCTCTTACTACCATCACATTAGAGATTAGATTTCAGCATACGAATTTGAGGGGGACATTCATTCAGATCATAGCAGCCAAGGAAGCCAGGAATTCACTTTGCTCTTACTTTCCCCCATGGAAGAAATTGTAGACTGAGGGTTTCTTTTGGCACTGATCTGTGCTGCCTTCAGGGAGGGATGACACACAAAAAATGAAACTGCTCTTCTCACCCTCTTCAATGCTTCTATTCTTGGATTTTTTTGCTCCCCCATGTTGCAGGAACCTCTAAGCTAGTCTTCTGGGTTTCAATAAAGGTATTGTCATTTAAGTGGTTGTTAAAACCAGTGTTTCTGCGGGTACCAGAGGGTTGAGGGATGGAACCTCCTATTCTGCCATCTTGTTGATGTCTCTTAGAGTGTTCGGGTGTATATATGTTTATAATTGTTATATCTTTTCCATGGATTGACCTTTTATTATTATAAAATGTCCCTCTTTATCTCTAGCAACATGTTTATCTTAAAGTCAATTTTGTCTGATAGTATAGCAACTCCAGCTTTATTAATGGTTGCTGTTTGCATAATATATCTTTACCATCTTTTTACTTTCAATCTATTTATATCTTGCACTCTAAATTGTGTCCCTGTAGAGAGCATATACTTAATCCTATATTTTTATCCAGGATTACAAGTTGTACCTTTCAGATTTTTTTTTATTATTGTTTTATTCATTCATATTTAATGTTATTATTGGTGCAGTTACATTTATGTCTGTCATATTACATTTTGTTTCCCTTTGTCTATTACTCCTTTACCACTTAACTGAATATTTTCTAGTGTAACATTTTATTCCTTTAACGATTTCTTCAGGTTTTTGTTTTTGGTGTTCCTCTAAGGCTTACATATACCTGGTAACTTATCAAAATCTACTTCAGATGTGTACTAACTTAAGGTAGTTATAGTAATGAGATATAATGAGATATAGTATAGAGATAAAGTAATGCCTGCTCCATTATTCAGCCAGTTGTGACTAGGAGAGGCAGTGCACTCACAGCCACATTGTAGCAGTGAGAGGAGTTGGGATTAACAGGAGCATTTAGTAACTGGTGTAACTCACCTTTGACTGTGCATTAGAGTCATCATTGTAGCTTCTAAAAATGCCAAAATATCAGCTCCATCCCAGAGTTTCTGCTCAAGCACTCAGCTGGTGAGGCTGGCCATCAGTATTAAGTTCTTCCAGTGATTCTAACGTACAGACCTCGGAACCAGCCACAGCACAGTATATCTACTGAGGTTGCAACTGCTGAGGATCTGAGGCTTCAAGCTAAACTTTCTCCAGTTTTCAAGTTGTCCAACCAACTATTTGACAGTCCCACCAGACTCTGCTAATTATCCAGCTTCCCCCTAAAGCTAGACTGCTGAGCAGAAGCTTAGTCCTTGGCAGAACCCTCCCATTTAGACACCAAAGAACATACTTCCAGCTGCCAGCCAAGGCCCCCTCTACAGAGACCATGCTGAACTAAGGTGTTGCCACTCTTCAGGCCTCAAGTATTGTCACTATCAAAGGTTCCTGCCACTACCCATCCCCTGCCTATCAGATAGGGTCCTTTTGGATATTAGAGTTGGCCTTCCTCATGGCTACTGCTTTCTCCCTTTAATATTCTAGCCCCAGACACTTCTGGCTATGCCCTACAGAAGCAGAAAGTCCCATTTCTGGGAAGTGAAGAGGCCAAAGAAGGGTAATCAAATAAACTTAGTGTGCAGCCCTGTGGTCAAGCGTAATGGGAGTATCACCGATGATGACTAAAAATCAGCAGTGCCCAGATTCCAAGAACCAAATCAGATTCTTACACACATGGTTCCACCCCTGCCTGTAAGCTGGAGCTGGAGGCCATTATCCTTAGCAAACTAGCACAGGAACAGAAAACCAAATACCACATGTTCTCACTTATAAGTGAGAGCTAAATGATGAGAACACATGGACACATAGAGGGGAGCAATACACCTGGGGCTTTTCAGAGGGTGACAGGTGGGAGGAGGGGGATGACCAGGAAAAACAACTAATGAGTACTAGGCTTAATACCTGAGAAATGAAATAATCGATACGACAACTCCCATAGCACAAGTTTACCTATGTAACAAACCTGCACTTGTACCCCTGAACTTAAAATAAAAGTTAAAACAAAAAAATCTTTCTTTCCCATCTGACCTGCCCCTCTGTCACTCCACCCCTGTCTGGGCTCATTCTCAGGTCCTGCTTTAATTGCCATCTCATTATCTCACTGGAGGGAGATGTTTCCACAAAGCACATCTGCCCAGAACTGACAACTCTTGACAATGGGTTCATAACCCATTTTGCGTAGCCAGTTAGAAGTGTGGAGCTGGGCTCGCCTGCGGGAGTGAGCAAGTCCACACAGGGTTCCAAGGTGCTGTCAGCTGCTCGGTTGTGTTCAATCTGGGAAGGACTGCTGGAGGTGAGCAACTCGGAGCAGGGGTTGGGGAGGACCATTCCCATGCCCACAGTGTGAACATCTTTTTTACTCTTTTAAGCACACTACCTGTTTGCCTGGATCTGACAGTTGAATACCTAGGACATAGAGAAGGGTTTTTTGTTGTATGAAAAAATAAATCAATTACCCTTAGAACCACAATGGCACAGTTAACTACTGAAGTCCAATTCTCACAGATCACAGGTTTTTCGAGAAAGTGAGCCTCATTATTCTTGGACAGAGGAGCACTTTGAGTGTTTTCTCATTCTGTCTCCAGGCGGCACCAACACTGGAAAACATGGCTAAGTGGGCTGTTTGGCAAACAGACACCTCACACCTTATGCCTTTCCCAGGCACACACTCTTCCCACGCCTGCATTTCTGGGGCTGATTCCTGTTCCTTTTGCAGACGCTCCAGAGCTGGCACTATGGGCTCCTGGCTGCCTGGGCCCTGGCCGGGTCCAGCAGCAGAGGTGTGGTTTGATGAGTTGCACTTCTGGGATTATTTGGAGAGGGGAGAAAAAGGAGAGGGAAAAGAGCTCAAACCCTCTCTGTGATGGCCCAGGATATGTTCAAAGACAGAAACAGGACCTGGGCTCAGAGGATGAGCTGGCCAGGAAATGAGCTCTCAACGTGATGAAGCAGACAGCCCTGGATACTTCACAGGGCAGAGGCCAGGGGCTATTTTTACAGTCAAAGAAACAGATGTAACAATCTGGGAGAGGACAGTGTGTATTGTACCTACCTGGCTGGAAGACTGAAGGTGTCTCACTGCTTTTCTTCCTCTCAGGCTTCTTGTGCCCCCTCCTCTTGCAGTCCTCATTCTTACTTGGTAAGGTGCCATTCTCCTGCCAACAAGATGACAATCTCTACAGGACCACTTCTGTTTAAAATTACACATTTCAGTGAGTCACAGTTGTCCTGCAAGGTAACTGACGATAGCTGCACTCATCAGAATCCCACACCCCATACATGTGTGCTTTGGGGTTAGTGATTCAAACACTATTTGAAGTAGTATACCACAGAGTTTAACTCTCCTCCCACTCACCTCCCATCACACTTAAAAATCCGCCTGAATTCTTATAGCAGGTGGGTGGGAGCACCTCAGTTACCCAGGACCATAGCACTCTCTGCACAGCAGAATTTCCTTTTGAGGCCCTCTCATTATTCTTGACTCATCTTACCTTTTAGAGTAGGTGGCCTCAGAATGTCTCCTCTCATTGTGATAGACAAGATAAAATATGAGGAATAGACCTGCTGAGAATAACATCCTTGAAACTGTTGTAGCATTTCTGTGAAAAGTCCACCTACTGCATGGTCAAACCCTGCTGTATAGAGACACACTCACAATTTTGCTGAGAACTGAGGACCAAACACCTATGTCCAGGTTCAAACTGGTCTACTTTTATTCATGACATAAGGGAAACCATGGAACTCATGCTGCTTTACTTAGTCTTAATCTCTATCTACCTGTCTATCCTGATTGCTAGCCATTTCAAAGATGAACTAGGGCTAAAAGAAGCAAGTGTCTCTAGACTACGATTACATCTTCCCTTTCAGTCTCTGGTTTTTATTCTTTATCCTTTTTTGAATGGTCGTATTGTATGTGACTTTTAGTCTAAGCAACCTCAAACTTTTATTTTTAAGTAAGCACTGTGTAGTAATCAAGGTATTATGTACATTCGCAAAAGATGAACCCACAGCATGTAGATCTGGAGAGGAATTACAAATTAGGAGAAAGCCAGCATTAACTCTACCCAGAGCAACCCTGGCTCAGGAGAAACCTCCAGAGCACTGGAGGAAGGCCACTCACAGATCCCTAGGGCCTCAGGCACAGCCCACAAGGGCAGGAGGGTGCTGCATGAAAGCTCTAGCCCTCAAGAGGTGCAGGGACCTGGCGGTATAAAGAGGATGGCACAGTGCCCTCCATGGAGTCCATGCCCATGCCCCAGTTGATGACGGAATCATTGAAAGGCCATCGGAAGATTTTACAGACTACATTGCATTTCTCAACTATATTCAGACCAGGGAATAAGTTATCACAGACACATTTAGGACTGTGAAGTCAACTGCGGTCACCCTAAAACAGAACCTTTTTAAAACCTTAAGAAAAAGTAACTATATAAGTCAGTAAAAACCTGAAAATACATACTATGCCCTTTCAAAAAAAAGTCAGTGCCTTTTTCAAAAACCATGTAAACTGCAGAGTCAAAAGGAAAAAAAAAAAAAAAAGGTAGCTTTTCAAAGTGTTGGGGCAGTCATGGCTCTTTCACAGAGGTCTCTAGACAGAGATCCATAAAAGTGGGTGACACTTCCCACTGCTTCGCCAACTTGTGAAAGCCAAGACTAAAATGCCGCTCCTACCTTCACTTCCTTCCACTCCCAAACTCAGATTGATCTTGAACTAAGGGAAGAATCACTCCACACAGATACCCAGGGCATGGCGCACCAAAACTCATCATTAGTGAAAGTGCAGAGCCTTCAGCAGCCCCTCCCTGGGCGGGTCTTCTGGCTGCTTTAGGCATCCAAACAGCCCTGGGAACTGGGGTCCCCGTGTTATAGATCAGGAAATGGAAGCGGAGGCTGGGAAATGCACCCAAAGTCATACAGAGAGGAGGCAGCAGAACAGAGATCCAAATCCACTCCAGTCCATGCAGTTTATTTTTGACAGCTTTAAATTCCTTTTTTCTCTATTAGTTTCTGCTCAGCTTTCAATGCTCCTGTCTTTTATCAAGTCTGATCTCAGGAAAGGATCTGGCATCAGCCGTCTGGATCCCAGCATGATTTTTAGTATTATCACCTGAACCCATATACATGCATGGTTTTTCTAATTATGAAAATACAGAATCACGGAATTTTGAGACTGGAATAGCTCTGAGCAGTCCTTTAGTACAACTGCTTCCTTTTAAAGAAGCTCAGTTTTGGGTTCAAAAAGATAACAACTTGCTCAAGATCACACAGCTAAATAAGTCTCTAAAGGACTCCTCATCCAGAAAAATCATACATTTCCTGAAAAATAATTGGTAATTTTTCAAATCATTTTAAGGTTGACAATAAATCTTTCCATTAGCAGTGAAGCCCTGAGGAGGCAAGATCCAATGAGAAATTTCTCTTCAACTGCCAAAAGAAGTATGAGGACGTGAAATCGACCCTCAGAAGGATTCCTTCTCCGTGTCAAGCCATGTTGAGCAAATGCAAGGAAGAGCTCAGGGAAGGAGCCCGTCCCTGCAGGGCTGCAAATCCTCAGCCTCGGTGTCCCGAGGGGGCTTAGTGGCTGCACTCCCGGGCCGTCCAGTAGGCCCCTCAGACATTTACGCCCAGGCCAGGCCCTCCACCACGGGAGAAGTGAGTCCCGTCACTGAGCAAGGACGCCAGGCTTTCCCAGCTGGGTGGGGCCCAGGAACTGGGAATCTGCGCCGGACCGGGGTAGGGCGCAGCACCCTTCCCTGCAGCTGGGCTTCTGGCCCTAGTTAGTGGACATTAGACTCATGTGCTGGCTTTAGCCCTCTTTGAGACGATGCTCCTGTGGGAGAGGCCACGCACAGATGGCAGCATGATCTACAGCTGTTCAGAAGACGATGTTGACAAAGCAAGCTTGACTGGGCTCATTGGAAGCCTGTGGATGGCTCACTCTAACCCCAAATAGCCCACCCACCTTGATTGCAACATCCTGAGCCTCAGCAGCCACCCCCACCAAGCCCCCACTTGCTGAAAAAGTGCCAAGGGGCCCCCCAGATAAATTTTCCTTGGAGAGTCAGTTTTCACCTAGTTAAAATGGGATATAAACTTGGTCCTGAGCAGGACGTGAAAATGCCTGTGTGCTGGTCAAACTTCATGTGTATGAGGGACAAGCGGAGTCTGCCACCTCCAAAGCCAACGTGAAACACTGCTGAAGAAATCAACTTCTAAACACTGAATGAAACATTTTACTAAATTACCATTAATTGCCTTCATTCCCTATGTCCTTAGATAGGAGTCAAATTTTAAAGATTTTGTAAGAGAAAAGAAACACGGTTTTTCTTTTTTCTTTTCTCAACTTTTATTTTAGGTTCAGGGAGTACGCATGCAGCTTTGTTACATGGGTAGATTAGGTGTCACTGGGGTTTGGTGTACAAATGATTCCATCACCCAGGTAGTGAGCATAGTATCTGATAGGTAGTTTTTCAATCCTCTCCTTCCTCCCACCCTCCAGCCTCCAATGGCCCCAGTGTGTGTTGTTGCCATCTTTACGTCCATGTATTCTCATCATTTAGCTTCTACTTACAAGTAAGGCCACGTGATATCTGGCTTTCTGTTCCTCCACTAATTTGTTTTGGATAACTGCCTCTAGCTGCATCCGTGTTGCTGCAAAGGACATGATTTTGAGGTTTTTTTATGGCTGCATGATATTCCATAGTGTATAGGTACCACATTTTCTTTATCCAGTCTATCATTGAGAGGCATTTAGGTTGATTTCATGTCTTTGCTATTGTGAATAGTGCTGCAATGAACATATATGTGCATGGTAGAACAATATCTATTCCTTTGGGTATATATGCAGTAACGGGATTGCTGGGTCAAATGGTAGTCCTAAGTTCTTTCAGAAATCTCCAGACTGCTTTCCACAGTGGCTGAACTAATTTACATTCCCACCAGCAGTGTATAAGCATTCCTTTTTCTCCACAACCTCACCAGGATCTGTTATAATATTTTTTGACTTTTTAATAATAACCATTCTGATTGGTGTGAGATGGTACCTCATTGTGGTTTTGATTTGCATTTCTCTAATGATTAGTGATGCCGAGCATTTTTCATATGCCTGTTGGCCATGAACATGTATATCTTCCTTTGAGAGGTGTCTGTTAATGTTCTTTGCCCATTTTTTAGTGGGTTGTTTTTCTCTTGTAAATTTGTTTAATTTCCTTATAGATGGTGGATATTAGACCTTTGTCAGATACACAGTTTGCAAATATTTTCTCCCATTTCATAGATCATCTGTTTACTCTGTTGATAGTTTCTCTTGCTGTGCAGAAGCCATTTAGATTAATTAGGTCCCACTTGTCTATTTTTGTTTGTGTTGCAATTGCTTTGGGGGACTTCGTCATGAAATCATTGCCAATGCCTATATCCAGAATGGTATTTCCTAGGTTTTCTTCTACGGTCTCTATAGTTTTAGGTCTTACATTTCAGGCTGTAATCCATCTTGAGTTGATTTTTGTATACAGTGAAAGGAAGAGGCCGCCCTCTTTCCAGGGCCTGCCCTGATCCAGCTCTTCCTATAAGTCTTCCTTCCCAGCCCTCGCAGGCCTCTCAGGCCTGGGTGCAGCCTTCTCCCTGACCTCTGAGTCTGCTCCATCCTCTGAATTCGTAGACTTGGGGACACAGAGGTTGCCTGGGCTGCACAGCCAGTCCACCCCACTTCCTGCTGAGCCCTCCCCCAGGTCCTGTGCCCAGTGCATCTCTCCATCTTCCCCTGCTCATTGCTCTTGCCATTTCTCTGGAGTTGCATCTCAGTCTACGTACTGTACTTTGCTTCAAGGGCTCCTGCCTTCTCATTCCTCTTTACAAGCCACAATTTCACTTGGGCAAAAATAAACTTAGCTCTGTAGAATACTGCCTTCCACACCACACAGCTTCCCCCCATCACCAGTGCCTTCACTGTTGCCAGAATTACCAACTGCTTTTCTTCAGGAGTCATTTGCACGAACTTTAAACACATTTCCATGTCCAGGACACCACTGTCTTGTTCACTTAACACCTGGTGTTATCATGTCATTCCTACCTTTCCTCCCGCTCAGAATCACCCTCTCAACGAGCACTCACTTTTGGGAGGAGCGCCTTTAAAGGTAATTTTAACGATTAACTTCAC